CGACAGCATTTCAAGTGCTATCAGAGAACACTTAATTCACTTTAATTTTGTGATAAATCTCATGTTTAATCCTCTGGTTGCTCTGTAATCATGTCTCTATTGATCTTTTCTGAATGACTGCATGCAGTTTAATAAACTTTGCCATTAACCCAGGCTTTCCAAAGGGGGAGATTGATTCCAGTATCAACTCCGATAGAACCAATAAGAACCTGAACATCATTAAATCTGTCCATTATAAAACATTTGCACTGAGATCAAAGTAAAGTGGAGGGGTGAATGTGCAGCTTATTAAAGAGGGAGTTTGCAACCGGAAAGTCTCAACCTGTCAGTCAAAATCAGCCGCAGTTTTCAGCTTGGTTGATTCAAACTGACACCTCCTTTCATTTCTTATTTCTCAAATCAGTCTTTCATCCTATTGAGTGACCTCCTTCCTTCCCTCTTTTCCCAGCCATAATTATAGCCCTTAATTTATTCCATCTTTTTCACTCCAGGCATGTGTTTAGTCTGTGTTTCTGAGGTCATTTTTTTTTGCCCTGTAATATATCAGTGAAGTTTGAGTGCATTTTCACCATGTTTTAGTTTGCATTTACTTCCAGTCCTGAACGCATTTTGCGAAGAATGCTTTGGGTGCATGATATATAAAACAGGAAAAGGAATGGKGGACAGGTTATAAATGAAAAAAAAATGCTATAACCTTCTCAAATTCCTTCTCTTAAGGCCTCTCCCTGCCATTCCTTTGTAGGGGCCRTCTCACAGATTTCTAATGCAAAAGGTCTATGCGCRTTAGACTCTTTGGCCCAGATCCTTAAGGGCACATAGGAATAGCACTTGTATGGGGACTTAACACTGGCAGAATTACGTTGRAAACAAAGCCCCTGAATTCCTTGCTTTGGAGTGCCGGTGGCCTTGGAAGCGTCAGCGCTTCTAGTTGATGTTGGGCAGATGACTGTTTCCTCTGAACACAACGAGAACTGATTTTTGGGGAAAGCGGGACGAAGAGCGGGTGGTGGAGGCTGCCAGGATGTGTCTGCGTGAACTGCTCTGCTGTTCTGTGTTTTGCCCGTGTAGTGCTGCCCGTCACAGGGAGGGAGACAACAGGAGAAAGGAGGAAGCAGATCCGTGGGCGCGCAGCTCCGTGTTGGACGTGAGGCAGGGAGGGTGGGATGCCAGGGACTGCCTTGCTAGCACAGGTGGTGGTGAACAGGAGGAGGACACGGCTTCCCATCGCTGGAAGGAGGCGAGTGGAGAAGGGGGAGCTGCAGGAAGCACGTCCRTGGCAGGGGGTCGGGAAGCACTGCCTGAGACCCGGAACAATGAAAGGAGGGAAAGGGATGCGGCAATTCCACAGGACACATCCGAGGAACACGCTGACTGCCGCCCCATGAGCCTTTGTGGATCCATTAACGTTGAAGGGCAGCGGAAAAGATGAAAGCCTGACTTCCCTGCTGTGCCCAAAATACATTAATGAGCAGAACAAGCCCTGAGATGTTTCATGTTGCGTAGTGCTCGGGCACACGGACGTGTGTCTCGTTCAGAGGACRACTGCCTTGATCTGCTCTGAGCTGAGGGCGATGTGACAGCTCTGTCAACCCACGTCGCCTTCCTGGTGTCTCGTTTGCTCTTCCCCTGCCGCTGCACAAGCCATTTACCTCTTGAAGTATTTAGTGTAACAAGGTGCAGATGAGATAGGAAGTAGTTTTGCTTCTGCAGCTGAGCTCTAGTGTGTGGAAAGGAAGAAGCCCAAATTTACAGAGCCATTTAATTTCCTTGGCAAAACCCATCACTGGGATTTAAGCAGCTCRGCAGCTCTGCATGCCCACTTGGTGGATTGGGGCTCAAGTGATTTGCTTCAGGCCGCGGAGCACGTGAATGGAGGAGCAGGAATTCCAGCACATCTCCCGAGGATCTGCACCAATAACTCACCTTGTCGGCCCAGGCAGCACTCATCCTACACTGGCAGGGTATGAGCTGTGAGGAAATCAAACAGGAGGGGTTTGGGTACCAGCACCGACAAGCAGGCTGGAAAACAGCCCTGCTCAGGGGGCTTGTTCAGCAAGACACGTTAGCTCGGGACTTCATCTGCTCCGGGCCCTTCCCTTAGGAGAGCCAGTTCCAGATCYGCTCAAGACGGCGCGTGGTCTGAGCCTCCGTGTTGCCCAAGCAGCAGCGCTCACAGGTCTGCAGCTCCTGGCGAGTTTGCTGGGGGCACCAGGAGAGCTCTTGACCTGAGAGGAGCCGTTTTGCAGCTGTGCATCTGCCAGCCCCACATCCCTGGAACTGCTTTTCCAGCTACTCAGTAACCTTGAACATTGTGATGTCTCTGTTGTAAAAGAGCTATTCACAAAGTAGCTGCTGCCTTTTTTCTTTTTCTTTTTTTTTTTCTTTTGCCCCTGTATATTTGCAAAAGACACTTTCAGCTGTTGTACAACTGCAAGGGAAATTACTATATATATATATGTGTGTGTGTGTATGTATATATTCTTTTTCTTTCCCCCTCCCGCCTCTGGTGTGTGAGATTACGTTGCAGGTTCTGTGCCCTGTGATAAACTGAAAACGTCATCATCTCTACTTTTCTCTTTTTACTTATTCGTGCTGTCTTCTGCACCCATTTAACTGCAGAGCCCATAATCTAGAATCATAGAATCATAGAATGCTTAAGGTTGGAAGGGACCTCAGAGGTCATCTAGTCCAAGCCCCCTGCTCACGCAGGGTCACCTACGGCTCTAATGGCACCTAATGGCTCTAAACACAAGRTGGTGCAAGATAGAAGGAAGGAGCTGTGCTTTCCTTCCTAGGGGCTGCTGGATATGTCTGCCAGCGCTCAGGCCAAGCAGGCATGTAATCCTTTGTGTTTCCATGCTCGCTAACTTTGCCTTCAGCAGATCTGCTTCCTAGGGGGAGGAATAAGCCAGAAAATAAAAGCTTATGCATTGCTTTATTTCATAAAACTTGTCGTTTTCCAGTTATTTGGTCTAGAAGGACTTTGTTTCCCCCAGATGGGGAGCTGCACTATGTGTTTCTGCTTGCCCCAAGGTTCTGCTCCTTCCCTAATGAAGCGTATCGCCTAGTTTGCCCATGAGCGAGGTGCTAGAGGCCTCTGCTCGTGTCTGAGCACTCTCAGGTTCTCTCTCTTTTTCTCTCTCTCTCCTTATTTTCTAATCACTGCCCTTTTGCTTAAAATATGTCTTCATCAGTGTTTTGTATGAGGTTGTCTTGGGTGATCTTGCCATGTTTCAAGAGCAGCTGGGGAGTTAAGTGGTGCCAAGAGAAGGAAAGAAAATAGAGAGGAACGTGAGACAGCAGGAGCTTGGAAGAAAAATATATAGCAATGAGACTGCTCAACTTCCTGACCCATAAGGTAGAGGAGGTTTGTTTCAAAATAGATTATTTTTAAATGTTCAATAATTATAACCCATTATTATATGGAGGTGTTTGATTTGGGTAATAAAACTGCACGTTGGAGCGCTTATGTGTGGTATAAACCATGAGAAGTCCTCCCAGGAAGAGGAGGAGGAGGCCGTGCAGTAGGAGGAAGCAAGTACTCCATGCACTGAGCCTGCTCCTGGTCGTGTTTTGGGTGACGTGTGCCAGTGAAGGGCAAGGAGTCCCAGGTGCCGTTCAGGCAGCTCCATGTAAAAGCCTGGTCTGCAAGAAGGTCTCGGGTCTCTGCTAGCTACAGCAAGATCCCTGGCATAAATCCCTCAAAATATCTAGGGAAAGAAAATACAGCCTGGACTTGCAGGCAGGTGGGAGCTGGAAGGAGCGGGAGCTCTGGCATCCCTGTCTCCTGGCAGGGGTACCCAGGCCTGTGTCTGCATCAGTCTGAACACGACTTGTCCATGCACTCTGCCTTCTGCAGAGCCAAGCCGCGGCAAGAAGAGCAGTGCTGTGGTTCAGCTGGCGTTTCTCTGCGCTCTTCTTGACGCTCCACAAAGTAGGTTTCTCGCAGCTGTGGCTTGGCTGGACCCGGTACCTGAGATGACTACTTGCCGCGGGTGCAGTTTGGCGTGGTGAGCACGGGAGCAGACAACCTGCAATCAGTTGCTCTGATGTCCATCCACCTTCAGGTACGACGTGAAGTTCTGCCAGCCTTGGTTCTGGAGAGTCTCTGACTCAACATCTGACCTGGTGGCTTTGGGTTTTTGCTGCAGGTTTGTTTGGCATAGTCTTTGCAGTGAACACTATGAAAATATTTCACAGCCTCTCCAATTTGTTTTTTGGCTAAGTTAGTGCAGCTGGTTTTGTAGAGGTGAGAAGCTTTGAAATCCTGAGTCATTATGTTCYGTCATTCTAAATGCCGGTGTGTTTTGCACTCAGCCTCTTGCAGAGATTTTGTTTAAAGCATGTGTTTTATCATGCTACGGTTAAAAATGGGAGCGTCTGCTCTCAGCCACCGATCTCAACCTGAGTGAGAACAAGTTCGAGTACTTTGAAAATTGCATTGTATGCAGTGAGACTGAGACACATATTTAAGTGGTTTAATTAAACGTGAGATGATTATTCAGGTATGGCACAGAAACAGTATTATGTAGTTTGGGTAATTAATCACAAAGGAGCAGCCCAAATCTGATTTGAAATATGAGMTGGCATAAATTGTAGAGAAATACAATGTCTGCATTCAAACACTCTGTGCGTAAGTAAATCATGATCTGTTTGTTAAACTTCTGACTAGGGAGAGACATTTGTTTTCGTGAGTAAAATATTTTTTTCCAGATTACTGGCTTAGGTCTAGCATATTAATAGAAGTAAGTAATACTTGCATGAGGACTGCCTTTGTGCTGCAAAAAGCAGCAGCACTGGGTAAAATCCAGGTAGACGAATAGTGCCAACCATTTATTTTTTAAATAAATCCACGCAGAGCTCAACTTGATGTGTGTGGCTACGGCTGAGGTAAGGGGTCCAGATGAGCCCTCGATTCCGCTGGCTTGATGTCTGTGATAGACGGTGCTATTTAGGTTTGACCAGGTCTTTATTATTTGGCTCTCACGTTTATACGAGCGATGAKGCAGATGGTTAAGTGCTCAGTAAGGCTCATTTGCTGGAGTGCTCAACACTTGCTGCAGCTACAGAAAGCCACCAAGGCTTCATCATCTGAAGTGCTCTGTAGGGCTGAATTCGCTGGAAGATCAAAYGCAAGGTTCTTCCTAATGGGCCTTTGGAATTAGCAGCCATTTTTGACCCGAGCTTCTTGGCGCTGCTTCTTCCACCTGTAAAATGGGAACAGTGAAACTTCTTTGCGTATTGAAAGCGATATAAGTCATTAATATTTGCAGAGCATCTGATATTAGAGTAAGATGCTGCACAGAGGGGCCTTTGAGGAAATTAATACTTGTGCATTCAGTGGAGGGCTTGAATGGAGTGCAGGTAAATGAGTTTTAGTCTTGCACGTTGGACAAAGAAAAGAAAACAAAGACACGAGCGGCCACTCATTAAGTGAGCGCCTTGCGCGCCGCGACGGGAGAGAGTAGTGCTGGACTAGGTAATTAAAGATCATATCATAATGCAGAGGCACGAGAGGGCCAAATTAAGGTGCTGTTTGCAGCTTTACTCCTGACATTTCATAACTTCCAAGCCCTTGACTTTTGCAACCTCAATAATGTTGCTTCAGTGTCGCTTTTTGTGTGCAGTCGAAATGGGCAGCACCTGAAAATGACCCTTCTGTTTATTAGTGGTATTGCTAATAAATGTCTCGGGGCTGASAAATCCAAGCAATCTCTTTGCAGCGGAAGAGTTTTATAAAGCCTCTCTCAAGTGGCCGGCAAGCTGCTTTGCTTTTGTTTCTCCATCACCTGTCATCGCTGTGTACCGGCCTGCAGCCTGGTGCCACGTCCATCTTCCCTCCATGGCACCACCCTTTTTCTACACAACGCTGAACCACTTTGCTTTCCCATTCAAGAGCAAGGCAGGAAGGGGCAGATTGTAATTTAATGGGAAAAAAAAAGCTAATGAACTAGAGTTAAACTTACTGGAACGGGTCTGGCAACTTGAAGAAACTGCTCAGATGAGTGGCTAGGCTACCAKGGGCAGTGTAGTTAACATCGTAACTTTTACAATCCCTAAAATACTGTCCTAAAATACTATAATTTCCCTCGTTTGAGAATTCTTTTCTCTTTTGTATTGCACCTTACGTCTGCTTTTTCTGTGCTGTGTTAAGTGCTTCCAACTTTTGCCCTGGAAAGGTAGTTTTGGGGAAGTAATTGTGCATTTGGAGGAGCGCATGGTGCATCTAGCTGTCTTATCTGCAGAGAAATGAGTGACTCCTATCAGTGTCTCACTTTGTTTTATGATTTTGAAAGATCATAGAGACTGGTCGGTGTGTTGTTTGCAGGCTTTTATTTGTTGTTGTTTCTGCCAGAGCTAAAATAATGAATTGGGAAGTGAGTGTGAGAGGGGTATTGAAGTCCTAGGGCAGTTTCATCCATCAACTTTAGAAATTTGTACAGAAACATAACGGGAAGTTGTGTTCTTTATGTGCATAAGTTCTTTATGTGAACTTGATCACATGAGTGAGCGAGGCGTGAATTGGCAGGCTGTAAGACAGAGCTGGTGTGACCAGTGAGGATCTGAGAAGCAAGGAACTGGAATCTAGTTGTGGACTAGTCCTGATGATATTGCTACCTTCACCGGCCCAGCACTCTARGATGCTTCCATTTTAAATAAACAGTTTTAAAAAGTTGTCCTTGGGTGTCACATTCAAGTTCAGAACTTCAGCTCTTGAACTTGACCCTGGAATAGAAAACTGCTCCACCAAGGCAGTTGCCCAGTGTTGAGGCTTGAAGCAAGTTGGTGGCCACCTGAAGTGTTCATCAGTKGCAACCTGCAGATTTTGGCCAGGATTTCTCATGGATGGAGCCCTAACTGGGGTGAGGGTGATATGGGGTGGGAAGAAGGCTGGCTACTGATGGRTTCCTATGGGGAAATTCATGGGGGTGAGGTGTGGACCGTATGTGGTGTAAAGCTGCTGAATGCCACTGAGGGACCGCTCCAGGCCTGCTAACACATGGTGAAAATGCAGTGTGTCCTCCAACCACCTCCGCCAGGAAACTATCCAACGCCCAAGGGTGCTGCCTCTCCCCTGCCAAGTGTGGGCTTGGATCGCTCTTGTTGAACGTTCTCCAGAGCTGAGATGCTGGCGGGGCGGTCCTGGCAGACTCGACAGCCCTCCCGCTTCGCCGTCCCGGCACGTACACTGGCAGCAGCGTGATTAATGTGCCCCATAGAAATAAAACAAATGGAATTTTTTTTCACATTGTATGGTACACTCATAAATATTAATGCACTTCTATATTGAATTGTACRTAATTACATATTTATACGTCTAAGTCACCTTCCTGATGCACTTAAGGCACTTTTACTGATGAAAGATATCTCTGAATAAGATGGTTTTAAACCATGCCTAATATGTTTGTATGATTTATTTAATAATGTGTGGGTTTGTACACTGGCAGGAGAGGAGGAAAAGTGACATTAAAGTCAGAATATATTGTACCTGGGATCTGCTACTTAGTTTGAATCAACTCCTTGGGTAGCTGCTGAAAAATAGAGCTTCACATGAAATATTGCTACATCTCCTTATCTGCTGAGATAAGGTCTGTGCGGTCCTGTCACCTTAGAGTAATTACAGCTTATTACTTTAATCACGGCGATGCTTAAGTCCCTAATTAAGATTACACTAGCTAATGCGCCCGGGCGYGCTGTGGTCCTGCCGGTGTCCTAGCTAAACAACGGGAAGACAAAAATTGCATGAGGAGCGCGGGTGGGAAGCGGTTTATCCGTGCCCTGAGGCAGGGGCTGGTGCTGGAATGCAGCTCCCATGGGCCAGGAACCATCGGCTTCCCGCTGGGAGATGCTCGGGATGCCGCTGAGCTTTTTGCCTCGATGACCTGAGTGTTGGTGGGTCTTGTTACTCCTTGGTTTGACGTATCCTGTCGGCACCTTTCTGAGCTTTTTGTCCTTCAACGTGTTCTGCTGAAGTCCATTCTACAGATTAAGAATTGACTTTTTATTTTTTTAAGGCCAAATAGTGTGYCTGTTCAAAGCAGTGAGAGGTTCTACCTTGCCATGTAGTAATGCAGGTTTTTGGCCCTCAGCACTCTGTAGTCTTCTCTGCAGAGACGTGAGCTACTGAAAAGCAGCTGGCTGGTGTGGAGGGACTTGGTTGTCTAAACGTGGATCTTTTATAGAAATTTTGTAGTAAAACAGTCCACTGAATTGCATACAAGGCCTGCATTTATGGCTTTTTATGGCTTCTGGATCTCCCTTTGGCTATGAGTAGAAGGAGCATATTTTGGGAGATGGTTGCGAATTGCGGCTTCTGGCCTGGAAGATAGATTCCTTTTTTGGTGAATTTTCCAAGCTGGAGTTGTTCACGTTGCCTGTAGATTTATGTGAAGGTCCATTCATCCAAAGTCCTTAAACTGGCCATGCTTTGCTTCACGAGCATCTGAGAATTCATGAAACTTTATGAAATGRTTTATGGCGTTGGCTCAAACGGGAGGGTCTGATGGAGAAGGTCCTCCCAGATGTCTCTGCAGTAATCTGCAAAATGTTGACCTGTCTTCATCTCTCCTTAAAGCTAATGGAAGCTAGTAATTTCTTGATGGCAGTGTTATCCCCATTAGGTGTTTTATAAGCTTCTGGAGTCCTGCCACGGTTTCATTTAGATCCCTAGCGGGGGGGGGAAAAAATCCCACTAAGCTATTTAGTCATTAGGAGCATATTTTTCTTCTAGAGAATTTCCCTTTAATGAYTCCTTTTTGTTTGCATTTAGGGTGAGTTGTACTTAAAGATGTTAAAGATTTTTTATGAATTTTTGATAAGGCACCTGACTTTTCTATTATGAATGGCARTGGGTAAAGGAAAACTTGTGATGCATCCCGTGGTGTCTTGTTGAAGACAGGTTTTAAAAAAATAAAAATAAAAGAGGCTGGTGGCTTCTGTCCCTTGTTCTCTTCTTTAATGCTTGTGGAATAGTTCTTTTCTATCCAGTGCTGAGTTTGTGGGCATTCAGGGTGGACTCTTTAATTAAGCCCGAATGGTTTTAACTTTTTTAACTATTTTTTTTGAGCATATTTTGAAGCAAATTAGGACACAGTTAGGATGTTACTCTCTTGAACCTGCATATTTGTGACAAAGGGACAGATAGACCAATTTCTTCCTCGCAAACTGTCGTGTTGTAATAATAAGGTACATGAAATAGAAGTACGGAGGCTTATAGGATCATGTAGTACTTCTCATGGTAGGACAGGGACAGCTTTTTTTGTGGGACCTGAAGGTCAAGGCAACCAGGCACGAATAGGCTATGCTTACAGTATAATGTTGTTTTAAGTAATAGACACCTTTATGGAAATACCCATGTTTGTACATGTGAAGTTTTTTGAGTAGATGTGATTTGAAGTGGCTGCAGATTTCTTGGAGACATAACAAGCATTGCAGCTCACACCTCTCCGGTGGCTTCTGCTTCTCCTCTCCCAATAATCCTGCATCTGTTGATTTCTTCTGCTTCCCCTGCCTTCCATTGTTATGTTATTGGAAAATTTACTTTCAAGTTACACTTTTTTTGAAACAAATGCTCAGATTCTGCGTGTTTCAGCAAATGAACTAAYTATAGTCTAGAGAATTTGCATGTCTGTTACTGGGCTTGCACATAGAAGAACATTGATCTAGAGTTTAAAGAAGTGTCAGTAATCAAATTTTTGAAAACAAGCATGACTTTTTCACCCCCTGAGATTTGGAAATGTTTTGCTTAGGTCAGGCTTGAAGAAAAAACAGTCAAGTCAATTGAGATATATTGGCTTTAATTGGCTTTAGGTCAGTGCTTGCCCTGTGTTGTTAAATATAAGAAATAAGTCAGAATAACTGTTGAAGGCCAAGGCTTGCTGAAATCAAAGGTGACTCAATTTAAACATCAYGAACATACACTGTCTTTTAAGCACGTACTTGGTTGATACATGAGGTGTGCTTAGAAATAGTCACACTGATGGTGTGAAAGGCAGAGCGGGGTGTATGTGGCTGTGAGTGCGTGCACTCACTTAATTGTACTGATTGTATTTGCCTGTCTCTTCATTAACTGGCCTGCTGCAAAGAGGCTTTTGTCCTTTTCTGGCGAAAAGGAGAGCCTCTGGAAAATGTTTCCTAAAATTGTTATTGACAACAGTTGAAAAAACAAATGCGATCTGTATTTTAATGGTTGTGTTCTCCTCCTTCTTCCCTTGCCTGCTCCCTATCCCTGCAGAAGGATGTTGCGTTGAAGCCCCAGGAGCGTGTGGAGAAGCGGCAGAAYCCTCTGGCCAAGAAGAAGCGGGAAGCGCTTACCAACGGGCTCTCCTATCTTCCCAAAAAGAACAGACTTCCCCACCACCAGTACAGCTCCGACCGCGAGAATGACCGTAACCTGTGCCAGCACCTGGGGAAAAGGAAGAAGTTCCCGAAGGGCCTCAGACAGGTGGGAGACAAGTCGCGTGTTGCGCGATCGAGGCGTTGGCACGTGGTTTGCCCAAGCGGACCTCCCGCTTGGTGGGTTCGCTTGCTTGTTTTGGGGCAGACAGATCCCGTTTTGTGCTGTCTTCTGGGATGTGAGGAGAGATGATCCGAGTGGTTGGGAAGGACAGGAGAGCGGCGTGTTGGTAGTAGGTGTAGGCTGACAGGCACGTGCCAAGGCTGGGACTGAGGCTGGCACATGGTCAAGCCAGGCCCTGAACATCGAGGCCTGGTTGCAAGAGGGGTAGCTGTTGAGGTGAATCGTGCTCTCCTGAGGCTGGCTATAGGGAGCTCTTTTGTAGGGTGCTGTTGGTGATCTAAGGCTGTGCTGTCGTGGCTTGGTGAGCACCTACCCGTAAGCAGGRGCGCTCTGCTTCCCTGCAGGCCTCGGGGCGGGAGCCATGTAGCGCGCGACGGGTGAGTGAGCTCACCTAGGATTGCCAAGGCGGAGCTTAGAGATCTGGTCTGTTAGTCAAGACTATGCAGTGTGTTGTGGTTCTGGTGATTTAAAAAGGAAAGAGGGGAGGGAAAAAAAAAAAAAAAAAGCACAGTAAGTGGGATTTCTCTGCTGTGCATGATGTAGGGGGTGGGAGGGAACACACTCTGCTTTTATGATGGGTAAATATTTATATTCTTTTGTGTGTATGTTGTTTGCACAAGGCAGACCTCAGGTTTGGACGTTTTAAGTATAACGTGTACCTGTGTGTTCATTTGTCTCACAAAGCCGTCATCCACAGTAATGGTGAATATGCCAGGTGTGACCTACTTTTGAGTGTAATTAATAACTCTTTACTCAAGATTTAAAACTCTAATGGAAATAACTGATGTTTATTGGATGAATCTCCATCTTTGGTGCAATGCAACATTGCTTTGTAGAGAAATAGGTTTTTGAAGACTGAAAATTTTGGGGCTTTTCATAGCGTCAGCTCAGGAACGTGGAAGGAGCATCAAGGATGACAAGTACACTGACTTCTTTTTCAGTCCTTATAATTGAAGCTATAGAAGCTGATCAAAATGAGCTTCCACTAGTATTTACAAGCTCTGATTGAAAGCAGAGCTAGAATAAGAACTCAGAGAGCACTTTATCAATGCAGAGAAGTTGGAAAACACCTGTTATCYTGCCATACCTATTATGGTTATCTCTTATAATTTAATTTCCTTTTTCCTTTGTATTTCTAAAGGGAGATGGACAAACTCTTTGAGGTCTTTGCTGTGATAATAGTGTGATGTGAAGGAACTGAAGGTTGTTATGTTCTCTTGACCATTTTCGGTGTTCATAGACTCATTCTTTACACRCTTCCTTTTTAGGATGTCAAATGGTAAATGTATCTGCTTTGTTCAGCAGGAACCAGCCTTCATGAAAGCTGACTTTTTGCACTATTTGGTTCCCATGAGATAGCCTGCTGTCAGGTGAACCTTTTCTGCCTGGTACTTAAGCAATGAAGAATTGGCCTAGCTGCAGATAGAGGTTATTTGTGAGGTTATGTTTTTAAGAATAAATATACCCTGGTTTGGAAGATATTGAGTTGTCAAATGTCATGGAAAGTGGTTTTCCTATTAGCTGATAAATCTGAGCTTAATTCCAGAGGGATAAGGCTGAGAGGGAATAAAATATCTTACTCGATATAAATTTAATATATATGGTTGGGGTACAGCTCCTTAGATAAGAACATTTTAGTCTCCTGAAGAGACTGAGATGCTGAGAACTGCAAGTGGCTTTGGCACTTAGAAAAAAAGATGTCATGATGTCACAGGCAAATCAGCTTTGAATCAAGGCGTTTTGTCTGATCTAAATTATTGTTGATGGAGAAGAAACCTTTTGATTACCAATTTGGGTGTTGGAAACGGAGAATATAAAAAGTAARTGCTAGGGGAAGTGCATCTCCTGTGTTTTTACCAGACTCAGCTTCCGTTGAACAGCTCTCCCCTGTCCCTAGGGTCTCTCTGCCTCGGTTTGTTTGTGCCCTCTATGAGATGAGGCTGGGTGCAGGGCCAGGGGCTCCTGGCTCTCGCTGTCTTTCCCTTTTCCCGCACGGGTATCCCGGGCTGTAGTCCCTCCGGGTGTCCCTGCCCTCGTGCAGGTCCCCTGTGGGCCACCTCCTCCATCCGTGCTGCTGACTTCCAGAATTGTCGATTGGAAATTGCTTACGGTATAATTATTATTGTCAAATCTATATATTTATATGTTATGCGTGAATGTAACCCGTGGATGGAACAGAGCATCCTTGGTGCTGTCATCACGTTGACACGGAGGCACCAAATGTTGGCTGCACTCTGTCCCCGTGGCAAAGCTCTTCTACCTGGAGATCCTGGCTACTTTACCTGTACTTCATGGCCCCGTCCAAAGGGTCTTCCTCCAAAATCTGCTCCGTGCCAAAGGCAGCTCCCGCGTACAGGCGTTGGGCAAAGCTCCCTCATCCAGCAGCCATAGGTGAGGCAGCTACGAGGAGGGCTGCTAGTTAGTTTTCAGCGAGTCCCCTTGCAGTCTTCAAGCAGGTATTTATCCTGCCATGCTGAAATGCCTACAGGTTTATTGAAATCCAGAAAATGTGAAACTGTAGGTTAATTAAGGCTCATATTTTAGTAGCAGGAAGACTTTTGAACTCTGCTTTGTGAGCTTTCATAAACGTACTTATTAAACGCCTTGAGGAAATTTTAGTTGGCATTAAGCAAACATGAGGCTCATCAGAATATTTCTCTAACCTTTTAAATCCCATTTCCTATACATTAATTGGTAGATGGCATGTTTTTCCATCTGCTCTTTAAAAATGGTGTGGAAATCATAAAATGAGCACTTTTAAATAATAAAAAGGATGCCAAAACATCGTGAGGGTTTGGAAGGAGGCATGAACAGACCCTTTCCTTGCCTGAGCGGGTGGTTTGGGTTGCCCCCTTGCTGGGCAAGGATGGTTTTAACCTGCTTGCCTATGCGGTGGGATCCAGCCCTGCGAGGCTCCAGCTTGATTCCCCGGGGGTGTTTCGGGGGCGTCAGACGCGTTTCAGGTGCCTGTTGTGGGTGCAAGCAAGGAGGCAGAGCAACAAGGGGCAGGAGAGGGAAGGAAAAAGATTGGTGATGGAGGGGGGAATTAGGAGGTAAACGGCAGTGAGATATCAGGAAGAACAGTGCAGCTGTGGACTGCTAGTGTGATAAACTACATATTAGCTTTAACCTCTAGTCCGTTAGGTGAAGCAATTAAAGGCGAGGGAGGGAGCTGCTGCAGCCTTTTCCTTCTCAGAAACACCCCTGCGATGCTCTTGGTCTCGCCCTGCGCCTGTGGTGGCAGTGGGCGCTGAGCGATGCTCGCCCTCGGTAGCGGCGCGTGGCCCTCATCGGAGCGTCGAGGCTGGTGGCCTCGGTGGGGCCGGGCGCGAGCCAAGGGGCGCGCGGGGCAGCTGGGGCGCTTCCCCCTGGCACGGCGCTTCCCCCTGGCACGGTGCTTCCCGCGCCCGCCGTGCTGGATTTACCACGTGCTGTTTACAGTTGGGGCTTGCAGGCTCTTTAGCAACTGCCTTCTGTGCTGCTTTCCCAAGAGATGTTAATTGAAGATGAAATTGTGGGTGGGCTTGGGGAGAGAAGCAGCAGCTCCGAGGATTGCGGACACCCAGCTCGAGCTGTSTGAGTCATTGGGTTCCAACTTAAAACTGTGGAACGACCTGGAGAAAAACCATCCATATGCTTGTGCGAGTGGAGGGTGGGCACTGTGGATGGGGTATATACAGCACTCAAACACACGCTTTGAATGGTGAGGACTTGACTGTCCCCTTCCAAAGCTGCTGTGGGTTGGAGTTGCTTCGCTCTCGGTCACTGGGTTAAAGGGTCTGTGGAGAGGTTTGCAAGCCTGGATCCATGGGCTTGCTCCAGTTTTATGCACTCCTGGCAGTCTGGTTTGGTATCACTGAGGCTGAAGGGCACATTGCTCATGGACACGAGGTATGTGAGATCTGTTGGGAATTTGGAAGCAGTTGCTTCCCACAGGAAACCCCAGGCCAGGCCCAAGCGCTGGCTGCAGCCAGCGCGGGATCAGCTCTGCCTGCTGAGATGTGGTGCCGGCACCACCCTTATAATCAGCGGTTTCTCCTGCAATTTTTCAATAAGCTATTGAATTACACCTTGCTAAATGATATGCTGCAAATCCAGCAGGTCCTAATTGCTAATGATGGTTCTGAAAAACTTTCATTTGACTGTAATTAGTTTTGCAAGCAATCAGCTGCCCTTATCAGAATTGAAAACACATATAATGTAAAATACAGGCTGGCGGGAGAGTAGCGTTAGCATTTCCTCGCAAGGAGGAGGGAAGATGTTTTATTAGCAGAAGCTGTGACATATTTTAACACCTTGAAAACATCATGTGTGAAATTAATTCTGTTCAGTATTATGCCATCTGGCACTGTTACTGCTCTGTGTGCATTGCTGGGTAAAGTGCGCTTTTTTCCGTCTGGGTACGAGCCTGCGTTTGAAATAGTCACCATGAGTCAGGCTGATCGCTAAGGTGCTCAAGACTGCTTGAGAGGTTTGAAATATCTCCTAGGAAAGCCCTGGCCTCAAAACACCGTGCCAGGCCCACAAAGGGGGAAGAAACGCGGCCCAGTTTGGCCATGTCTGTTGACCATGGACAAGTGTATGTGCTCAGATTGAAGATGATCCAGATCCCCTTTATTGACTAGCTGCTGAAGCGGAAAATACCTGTATTTTGATCTCAGTACCATGATCCTGTTTAATGTGCTGCTTCTTTTTGACTCTGGCTGAATGCTACTGCTTTAGACATGCAACTTGGAGCCTCTTGTGAGAGGGAAGAGGTCTTTTCCATTGGGATCACGATGGTGTTTCATCTAGATTGGCAACAGCTTGCTTGGCCAAGGAGGAGCAGGGTAGGCAGAAGGTCCTTTCAGACATGTGAGAAACTCRGCAACCTTGGCATGTTTTTATTCCCAGTGCAACCATTGCCACCAATTTTGCAATCTACT